AGGCATTTTAATATTTGCATAACTCCTCCCAAGAGCCAGCCCACTGCTTGCATCAGGGCCAAGGGTTCTTGAGGTGAGCACTGAGGCAGGGTGCTGTGATATTTTCAGGAAGCTATGTATAGCTATGTATATGTGCCTGCATTGCATACAGAAGCATGGAGACCTAGTGATGACATGACTTCATCTAAAGTAAGTGATATAATGAATGTTATGATTCCATTAGCATATTGAAGATGGGCAAAAAAGGAACCTGAGAAGGCAAAATATGAGCAGATTAAACTTCAGCTTTTACGACCGCGCTCTTCACCCGGTCAGCATTGCATGACCGCCGCCATGACCGTGGGATCTGCCGCTTATGGATATGCAGGATGATAGAAGGTTCCACATGGGAAAGATGTACCCCTGTTCTGCGGTAACAGCTTGTCTCTGATGGATCCATGTGATATGAGACCATAATTATTGTGACAAAGCATCAGAAGCCGAGCCCACACCATCCTCGCAGTAATGGAGCTCCTTTGGAAATGCGCTCGCTTCCTTCTCTCTAGCAGCAAACCTGTGTTCGGAAAGAAAGAAAGTTTAAAGCAAATGGCGTGCCACCGCGGGATCGTACACGCTCCCCAACTGGGGCTGAATTCTCCAAGACTCCTCCCATTTACGACCCCGATCGCCCTAAATGCGTTTAGTTTTTTTCTGACAAAATTCATTCTTCGATCTTCTTTTTATGTCATGCGGCCTGCTGTCATCTTTCTGCAGGGTGAGGCTCTCAATGGTGCGATAATGTGACATTGTTCCGACGCTGAGTTGTAGCTCAGAAGGCAGGCTCCGTCACTACCAGACTACATATGCCATCATGCATTGCTTCCAGCAAGCAATGGTAATGTTACATTGTTCAGACATTGAGTTGTAGCTCAGAAGGCAGGCTCTGTGACTACAAGAATACATATCCCATCATACATTGCTTCCAGCAAGCAATGATATTACGTTGTTCAGACACCGAGTTGTAGCTCAGAGGGTATACTCTGTGACTACAAGACTACGTATCCCATCATGCATTGCTTCCAGCAAGCAATGATAATGTTACATTGTTCAGACGCTGAGTTGTAGCTCAGAAGGCAGGCTCCATGACTACAAGACTACGTATCCCATCATGCATTGCTCCCAGCAAGCAAAGATAATGTTACATTGTTCAGATGCTGAGTTGTAGCTCAGAAGGTATGCTCTGTGACTACAAGACTACGTATCCCATCATGCATTGCTCCCAGCAAGCAAAGATAATGTTACATTGTTCAGATGCTGAGTTGTAGCTCAGAAGGTATGCTCTGTGACTACAAGACTACGTATCCCATCATGCATTGCTCCCAGCAAGCTATGATAATGTTACATTGTTCCGATGCTGAGTTGTAGCTCAGAAGGCAGGCTCGGTGAGAGTGGTGACACCAGGAAGTACATAGTCACAGGGTGAATGGTGTCAGTGCATTGAGGAAGTCTATCCTATGGGCGTCTTCGATAAGCTTCTATATGGATGTGGTTATGAGGAGTGGGATAGATAAATAGTACATTCGGCAGCATTGAAGCCAGAATCTCCGTCTACCATAGAGACAGATCCCGATCTTATAAAGATGTCTGGAGGAGCATGTGGCTTGTGTGGGCTGTCGCTTCCCTGCCACTGACAGACTGCTCTGTGTACCGGGAACGTCTCACTCAAACGGACATTCTAGTCTAACATTTGTCAGCGTATGAACAGCGCGACTCGCCAAATGAAAAGCCTGAAATTCTGTGGGTCTACCGACCATGTGACCTTTTATAAACCTAAAACTCACCACACAAGCTAAAATCTGATTGTACAATCTCCTTCAGATCTACTACCAACTATGTAGTGCAGGGGCCGGTGACTAATGGCCACCAAGAAGGGAGAGAGAGCAGCAGTGAGCGGCCTTTATTACAGGAGGGGGCAGAGACAAGACCAGTCACCCTGCACAAGGAGAGAGAGCAGCAGTGAGCGGTCTTTTTTACAGGAGTGGGCGGAGATAAGACCAGTCACCTTGCACAAGGAGAGTGAGCAGCAGTGAGCGGTCTTTATTAAAGGAGGGGATGGAGGCAAGACCTGTCACCCTGCACAAAGAGAGAGCGGCAGTGACTGGTCTTTATTACAGGAGGGGCGGAGACAAGACCAGTCACCCTGCACAATGAGAGAGCGGCAGTGACTGGTTTTTATTACAGGAGGGGGTGGAGGCAAGACCTGTCACCCTGCACAAGGAGAGAACAGCAGTGACTGGTCTTTATTACAGGAGGGGGCGGAGACAAGACCTGTCACCCTGCACAAGGAGAGAGCGGCAGTGACTGGTTTTTATTACAGGAGGGGGGCGGAGGCAAGACCTGTCACCCTGCACAAGGAGAGAACAGCAGTGACTGGTCTTTATTACAGGAGGGGGCGGAGACAAGACCTGTCACCCTGCACAAGGAGAGAACAGCAGTGACTGGTCTTTATTACAGGAGGGGGCGGAGACAAGACCTGTCACCCTGCACAAGGAGAGAGCGGCAGTGGCCGGTCTTTATTACAGGAAGCTCCAAGTCTCACACTGGATTAGAGCACAGATCTGGAAGCAATACACAAAGCTCACCAAGATTGAGGAAGAACACACATGACTCTGGTATGAGGACAATATTTGCTGATCCCGGAGTTCGGCTTTAATATAAATCGGTAGTGTATTGCGCCGTGCTATTGACCGCGGTGACAAGCCGCGGGGACAGATCCATTCTCTGGGCCAGTATGTAAGCCTGCGGCGAAAGGCTGAGCTGGATTAACCGCGGTGCGCTTCACTCGCTCTCTCCAGGAAAATTGATTCTTTCATTGACTGAAGCGACGCAGGACGGCCGCGGTCTGTGATGGGAAACTTTCTCTAGGTAATCTGAGGTCGGCCATCATTATTATTTTACATTCTACAAAGTAAAACTGAGAGATATGTCACCTGGAATATTTTCGGAAGCTGTTATAGCAAACGGGGGGAGGTTGGAATTCCATATTACTGTGCAAGTCTTGCGCAAAGAGGAGGTGTGCCAGCATCGGTAGAGGGGTGAGGCACCAATCCGAGGAGTACTGAGAATTGAGAAATGCGAATAGATGACACCCTGATGAAGAGGGTATTTGTAGAAACATCCGAGACGTGTTGCTTATTTCCTTAAAATGTCATCGTCGTGTTCTTCCTCACAGAATGACTCGAGAGGTCGGGAGTGACGACAGATATACGTTCAGTGCCAGGATAGACTATAACCGCATGGATTGGCCGACAATCATTTTATACCTGTGGGCACTCAGAATGATTGCTCAAAAGATTCATATTCTGATCAACATCCCCAGAAAATCTCAAATTTGGAAGGACTAAAAGACAAATCTTTTGGCAGTTCCCTTGCGCTGACCCCGCTCTGTCATTGTACGTGGCCTACCACTACCTGGCTGAGTTGCTGTTGTTCCCAGTCGCTTCCACTTTGTTATAATACCAGTAACAGGTGACCGCAGAATATTTAGTAGCCAGGAAATGTCACGGAACACCTGAACCCAATGATTTGGAGGGGCGTCCCGATTCTTTTTGGCAATATAGTGTACGTTCAGTGCCAGGATAGACTATTACCGCATGGATTGTCCGACAATAATTTTATATCTGTGGGCACATTGACGCTCAGAATGATTGCTCAAAAGATTCATTTTCTGATCAACATCCTCAGAAAATCTCAAATTTGGATGGACAAAAAGACAAATCCTTTGCAACTCCAATACATGTAACTATCTGTGTATTTAGCTGTTTGCCTGTTCAAAATAAAATGTAAAAAAAATCGGGGTGGACTTGCACTTTAGATTGGAATTTTCACCTTCCTGGACTGTAAACTGCATTGAATTTCCAAACATATTCCCCTCCCCCCTCCCCTAAAATATTCCTGAGGTTATAACCGACAGTTGGATGTATATTTGTCTGCAGCGAGTGGTTTATTTTAGCCATACATCTGGCGCAGCGAGCGAACAGATGATCAGCTTCTTCTGCCGCCGAAGGTTTTTTTTCGTAAAAACCTAAATAATGCCAGATGAGGGCTAATTGGCTGAGATGGATTCCTAAATTAGTCATTCGATGAGCTATAAAATGATACTGTGCCACGAGCACCCAGGCCCCGGCACAGCGCTCTACCGCCGGCTGTAGATCTGGCGCCTTGACCTATATACATTCTAAAATAATCTGAGAGGAGGGTAAACTTCGTACAGCGCCGCTGCCGTACGGGAGAGCGCCGCGCTACGCCTTTTATAGCCGTGGAAAATGAAGTGGGGCTAAACACTGCCCAGTATTTAATTAGAAAAGGTTTTACCGCCTTGATTAAATTTATCGGTTGGGAGGTTCAAAGCCGCAAAGATGGTGGGAAAAAAAAATATCCGGATCATTAAAGGGAATTCATTAGTGTGCGAGTATATATATGTATACACATCGATCGGAGTATATATATAGTATATACTAAATCTATACATATGTATAGAACTAGAGTAATATTTCTCTCTCCCTGTAGGTATCTCTCTCCCCTACTCCTCTCTCTTTCCCCCTCTCTCTACCTCTAACTCTCCCTACCTCTCTCTTTCTGTCTACCTCTCTC